CCTCTCTGAGTGGGTGACATCTGAGAAGTACCTGAAGGAGGTCAAGCAGTAAACCAGGTAGATCCCTTGGGGGAAGAGAGTTCCAGATGCGAAAGGGCCAGTGCAAAGGCCCTGGGGCAGGAGTGGGCCTAGTGTGTCTCAGAAGGGGGAAGAGGCCAATGTGGCTGGATCAGAGGGAGCAAGGTGGAGAGGGGAGGGGAGGAGGCCAGAGAGGGCACGAGCAGGATCACAGAGGGCTTTGTAGGTCACTGGAAAGCAAGCATGTCAAACTCGCGGCCCACGGGCCGCATGCAGCCCACAACGAATATTTTTGCGGCCCAGCCAATATAACGGCATGTAAGAAAAGTTTTAATAAAAAATTTGTAACTTAATTTTTACAATATCCTGTTATACATAATTATTAACAAACTACAACGTTCTCTAATGACTGATTACTATAGTCGTGTTGCATTCATTTCCCTTATGCGCCTTACACACAGGCGCACCATTTCTCTCCACTAATACCAGCAGCGAATATTTCAGCAGTCGATGGCCACGTCATTAGTCTTGTACTGACTTGTTTGGTGTGTGCAACAGGAAATATTTCTCTTTCAGAGAACAAGAAAAATAGGTTTATTTGCATTACGCTTATTAATTTGTGTGATTATTCAGTGTCTGATAAGTTAATGTTCAAGAAAAAATATTAGTTTTTATTAAAATGTTTTGTTATTTTATGTGAACGATGACTCATTTATTTCAGCCCTTTGTATTCAGCATGTCTCTATCGAAATAAACCTACATTTCTATGAAAATTGAAGCTTTTACTTTTTTGCAGTCCATATACACTTACACTTTGTTTATTTGGCCCATGTTAGCCTTTGAGTTTGACATGCTTGCTGTCAAGCAGTGGTTCTCAACCTTCTGGCCCTTTAAATACAGTTCCTCATGTTGTGACCCAACCATAAAATTATTTTCGTTGCTACTTCATATATGTAACGTTATTACTGTTATTAATCGTAATGTAAATATCTGATATGCAGGATGGTCTTAGGCGACCCCTATGAAAGGGTCGTTCGACCGCCAAAGGGGTCGTGACCCACAGGTTGAGAACCGCTGCAGTGTGAAGGCTTTGGCTGTGTCTCTGAGCGAGAGGGGAGCCCAGAGCAGTTTGGAACAGAGGAGTTCTGTGATCTGACCTAAGTGTTGACGTTGCCAGCAGCTTCAGCAGTCCACCTATGGGGCCAAGGCAGTAAACTAATTCTGGACCCGGGCTCCTAAGAGTGCAGACTGTGCCGGATTTTCTACAAGAACGAGGGAGCTAGCTCACACACACCCAGCAGCAAAAGCACCAGACCAGCCTGGCCCGGCAAGCAGGCGAGGAGGTTAAGGAGCGCCCCCTGCCCAGCTGGTGCCAGAGAAGATCAAAGCGGAAGTGAAGAAGTTTGTGAAGACGGACCACCCGGGCTGCAAAGTGACGGAGCAGAAGGATCACCCGGCAGGAACAGACTGGCCCAGAGGGGGTCTGCCTCAGGCCGGCCTGTAGTGTGTGGATTCTTGACTTTGTGCAGGAAAGATTTCACAATGCGAGTCCAGGGGATTTTGAGAGTATGTTTATCACAGCTGGGCACAGTGAGACAAAGGAAGGACTTAGGGGAGAAGAAGCAACAGGAGAGAGCCTGGGCGGTGCTCTGCTTTGGCTCCCTAGAAACGTTATAGGAAAGAAGTGAGCAAAGTCGTGGCTGCTTTTAACTCACCGGGACGTCAGAGAAAAGGGGGCTTTGGAGATAGGATCAGGGGGGTGAGCTCCGGTCGAGCTGCCACTGCCCCCTGCTCCCCTGCAGGTCTCCTAGGGATCCTTAGCGTTTAAGAGAAAGTAAGAAGTTCATGCCAAAAAAAGAAAGAAGAAGAAAGAGGAGAAGAAGAGAGATGAGATGAGAGAGATGAGAGAAGAGAGGAGAAAACTATCCCTGGTTTGGCTTAGTGGATAGACGCTAGAGCATTGGCTTGTGGACTGAAGGGTCCCAGGTTCGATTCCAGTTGGGGGCACATGCCCGGGTTGCGGGCTCAGGAGGAGGCAGCTGATTGGTGGTTCTCTCTCATCACTGATGTTTCTATCTCTCTCTCCCTTCCTCTCTGAAATCAATAAAAAAAAAATTTTTTTTGAAAAAAAAAAAGTTTGTGCCCGAGAAGGCCCACTCCTGCCTCAGGACCTTTGCACTGGCTCTTCCCTGCCTGGAACTGGGTCTTAGTCTTGAGAGTTTGTAAGTGTTCTTCTGCAGGTGGGAGTCTTAGGGAAGGGTTTTAGTAGAATATTCATCAACTTTCCAGGTGCATTGTTGATATGCTGATGCATCAAAATGAGTGTATAGGGGAGTTTGGGATTATTCTTTGGTCTGCTTTACTGTTTCACTTTTGTCTTGGATCTAGCTGGCTCCAATTAGATGTTTGATATTTTCCCCCCTGACTTCATCCATCCTTGTGTTGGGCTGGCACATGGCATTAATGGGGCCTTTGTCCTCCAACACCCGCCCCCCCCCCCCAGGGTGAATTAAGCTATGTATTCTCTGGTTAGGGAGGAGAGGTGTAAACGATTTGCTCTCGTGTCCTTAATTAGGAAAAGATAAGGTCTTGTGATTCACTAGCTGGCTGTACGGTGTTCAAATGGTTTGGCCTTGTTGATCTTCTCTCAGTTTCCCCATTTCACTTGCCCGGGAAATTTCCTAGCTTCTTACGGTCCTGCCTCACAGAGAGGGGAACATTTCCCGCGTGCTGCCTTGGGTATCGAAAGCTCCCAGGATTTAGAAATGACCAAGCCTCAGCCCACAGCCTCGCTGTGGGGGTGGGGATGGGGGGAGGAGGGCGGGGCACGGAGTGTCCGGCAGGTGCAGGGGGGGGGTCTGAGGGAGACGGGGAGGGGGGTTGGGGGACCCGGGCTATGGGCTCAGCAGAGGAAGCCGAGAACAACGTCCGTCACCTTACCCATTCCGAGGTCTCACACTCAGTTCCTTACCCCGATGTTCTGGCCGGTTTCTGACTTGTCATATTT